AGAGAGCTATGAGGAGGCTCAAATCAGTCCTTTTGCAGTCCACTCGGTTTACAGTGGATCACCATAACCCACCCATGTTTTTTTAATCTGCCTGCATGTTGCAGAAAGAAACATGCCCATCCTTCATCATCATATTTGCTCATTCATGGCCTCCAGGCATTATTTTTGCCTTTAAGGTTCATATTGGGAGTTTACTAACACAGCACAACTTACACAAGCTGTAAACATACATTCAGCACAGTCTGCCTTGTAAAGCACTTGTAGACAGACCACAGAGGAAACGGGCTCTAAATGCTGCTGCAGTGATGCTGTAACAAGCCTTTGGTAGCGTTTAACACATCCGTCATTTGTCAAATCCACCAACCATAAAGGTCAAAGGAATTTTTCAGAGTAAGGAGCGCACTGAATTCTTAAACCCCAGAAACTGATTGAACTTGTGTGTGTCGGCTAAGTTGAATGATGGCCTGGAAACCAGATGGTATAGACCATTAACTTCAAATGTACAGAAGAGGGGGGGGGGACAAAAACAATCTTTGAAGACTAGTGCTCATTCTGGATAATAAGCAACTGAGCTGGAGGGCTGTGTCCATCTAGTGTTTGGACTCTGTAACTGTGACATTAACATGAAAGATAGCATTACAGTATGTGTGCTACAGGAACATAATGTGGTTTCCTGAGCTGTAAGCGTGTGTAAATGTGTTACTCTAGTTTGTTCTGCACTTCAGCACGACTTTCTTCTTGCATTACATCCCTCTAGCTGCAAAGATCTGCACTGATTGCATGCAATGCTACAGCAAAACAGCAAGGAACCAAATCAGAGGAAGACAGTCATGGGTTTAAGAAAAAAAAATTAAATGGTTTAAACCACGGTTTTATTTGGCATAATTTAAAAATCATTTCACTGTTAGTTCATTTATACAAATATGCTTTTGTTATTTATAAAACAATTACAGATTTCTACAAATCAAGTTCCCAGTGTAAAAGCGTAGTACCACGCACACGGTAGCATACAGCTCCAGGACACAGACACAGAGCCCACAGGTGTATGTTCCACTTTAACAGCATCATCTAAGTGAATTTGGGACATGGAAAGAAAAAAAAAAAAAAAACGAACTCACCACAGATGACAGTTTTTAACATAACGTGCACTTACATTCAACTCTCCACAAACCTATCTGGGAAATGTTCACACATCTTCTGGCAGATGTCAAACCGCATCACTGTTATCACAAAAACCTCTTGCTCGGTTTGCACTTCAGTTATTCTAGACTTTACACCGGCCACAATCTAGGCTGACTTATTATATACCCGCTCAAAGGTGTACATGAAAATAACTATAGTAAAAAAGGGTTTCTATATTTGCTGCCAGCTGTAAGCAAAAAATAAAAAATAAAAAGAGCAGCTAGTCATTACAAAAACTATTTTACAAAAACGTATAAAAATCTTCAGATGTGACAAAGCACGTTCCACCTACACACCTTTTTTGCTAACCATATGTGCAAGTTCCGCTTGTGCCTTATTCCACCATGCAATGCAGGGAACCGCAATCTGTTAAGAAGTGTGGAACTCAAGAGCTTCGTTTCACAAATGCAAAGACTTGCTGCACAAGATGTCAGTTTAGCACCTGTGTCTTTTAAAAAAAAAAAAAAAAGTCTGCAAGATGAGTGTATTTACTGGCAGGAAGTAAGGCAGAGGGCTTCTGAAAATTCACAAAAATAAAACTCTTGAGTTGGGTGGGACCTGTGCTTAAACGTCTTGTGGCACTTTCAGAGCTACGATGAGAAGCTTTGGGTTTGACGAAGAAGACTGCTATTGTCTTTGATTTAGATAAGGCACCTAACCAAAAAAATAAAGGCTCCTTTCATATTGTACAAAAACTTCTATTACATGATTAAAAAGGGAGCCATCACGGTTCTTCTATGATGAAACCAAGACAATAGCGAATTACAAGTATATAGCCAATGTAAGCCAGTTAAAACATATTGCTTTACTGATTCAGTTAAGCGGTGTCATAATTGATGAATTTCAGTGGAAGACAATAATGAAACTGAAAAGAAATATGGAGTTCTGGTTTATCAAATTGAAATATTAACTACAACACACATACCTCTTACTGATCAAATAAACAGACTATTACAAAAACATTTACCTTTGGCCGTACTTGTAGGTTAAAAAACATTTATGGAAAAAAAAAAAATCATTTACAGAGTAAATTCACTATAATTAGACAAAATACAGCCTCCTTGACCACCACCCTATCAGAGAGAAATTCTTAGGCATGTTTTTAAATGGCACTCGGTGTAAGCTTCAACAGTTAATAAGTAGACAGAGAAGCTTCACGACAACCTGACTTCCTGACTGCATCAGCTCCAAAACTCCTGTACCAGCATCAGCTAATTTGGCTGAGTCTTTATTACACCTGCTCCTCCATTACTGAAGAGGACAAATGGTGTGCTGCTTTTAATGGGTCTGGCTTATCTTCAAAGACCTACTGGTTCTTCCGTGTGGAGAAGTGAAAGAGCAGTGCGAGAGGCTGAAGGGGCAGCCTGCCAACAGCTCTAACACACCAGACTGAGCACAAGGGAATTGTAATAAGGGAATTTAACCTTTAATCTGTGCATTTGGTTTAAGGGCTACTGGCATTTCCCCAGGAGTCATCAAACCATGTCTGGGCTCAAGCTGCTTGAAATTAAAACTTGTTCACCTTCTACTCGGCTGTTCATTACGTCTAAATAGTCAAAGTCAAAGCATCTTGATGGTAACCTTGCTTGAGACTCATGAGATGCAACCTAGGTGAGAATTTGAGGTAGTCATTAGTTCTCCACCTGAACAAAGGCAGATCTCTTCTCTCCAGTCAAACAGGGTAGCTTGGTTGGTTTGTTGGTTTAGATGTTATTATGGCTTGTGGCAACCATTATCAGCATTTTATAAGGCAAAGCAGAGAAGCTAAAAATGTAGAACAGATGTAAAATGAAACGTGTAAATATCAAAAGTTAAAATGCAAGAAAAATAGAGGAGAAACGGTCAGTCGCTCTCATTAAGGCATGGTCACTTTGGTGATGATGGCAACACGGCGAGATCCTCCTGGCGATGAAGAAGGAAGAAAGGAGTAACAGAGGAGCCAAAAACTGCCAGAGGTGATACGGAGACAGCCAATTGGTGACCTTTGTTCCTCAGCCTTCCCTTTGCATCCGTGGATCTCCACCATCCCCTCTCCACAGTCCAAATCTGGGAACCATTCATTACAAAAGCACACACTTTTCTTTTTTCTTTTTCGTGACTGGATACAACACTGCCCTCACAGCTTCAGAAAACACCTCCTTGACCCCATCCTGCAGCAGTGCAGAACACTCCATGTATTTAACAGCCCCAATCTGCTTGGCCAGGGCATTGCCCTGCTGCTGGGTTGTAGGGACCAGACCCTGCTCCTTTAATTTCTTCACCGTTTCTGCGTCACTTCTTAGGTCCTTCTTGGTGCCTACCAGCAGGATGGGCACATTTGGGCAGTGGTGAGACACCTCAGGGTGCCACTTGTGCCTGACATTGGCGTGTGAGGAGGGGCTGCCGATGGAAAAGCATATAATGAACACATTGGTTTGGGGATAGGACAGAGTGCGCAAGCGGTCATACTCCTCTTGGCCTGCCGTGTCCCACAGGTTGAGGCTGACAGTGCGGCCATCCACACTCATCTGAGCGCTGTAGTTGTCAAACACTGTGGGAATGTACTCTTCAGGAAAGGCATTGGTTGTATAAGAGATGAGCAGGCAGGTTTTACCCACTGCCCCGTCACCCACCACCACACACTTTATGGTCTGCATCCTGCCTACGACCACTGGGGCTGCAGCACCTGGCAACAGGGGGGGAAAAACACCTGAATAACTGCTAACAGCAACATATACACATACTGTGTAGTGATAAACATGCAATTTAATTCCCTGCATGATCGTTAACCGGTGAAGGGATCATAACACAAGATATCCGTTTTATTAGCAGTACAGCTTTTCACCCAGTTAGCAACTGAGCTAACTGTCCCCGTCGTTAACTAATCGACGTAGCGTTCATCACCGTTACATAGGTACGGTCCAATTCCAGATGCTCCCTAATTAACAAACTTTATAAAAGTTGTTGTCCAGGAGAGGCCGGGGTGTGAATGGAAAACAAGAGGCATTTTTTACCGGGTGTTTACACTTTACTGCTGTTCACTTTTAATACTAGGCGTTCCCCTAGCATATAGCTACTCTCTTACTAGCATCGAGCTAAGGAACTAGCGAATTTGGTGGCTAGCGAGCTAGCTAGTTAGCAAACAAGCTGAAACTTGATTTACAAGTCACTTTCTCAAAAAGATATGTTTAGGACCAGTTATTGCCCCACCAGCTTCTCAAAATTCCTGCTCAATTTTTGTATATACTTCAGAAGTAGTTTCGGGCTGTACGAAAGAAATATAACGGTTTTCATGACTTACCGCCACTTGGCTTTCGATCTCTTTTTGCCTGGTATAGTCAATCACAGCCGCATCCGGGGAGCTGTCTGTCACGTAAAAACCGACGTAGGGAAGTAATGCAAGCTGGTAATTGTAGTTCTATTTTGAGTCAGTCGTTTGCATAACACTAGATGGCGGTGTAAAGCTATTGTCATGACGTTGCACTCATGTAGCCGAAAAATATGCGGAGCCAAAGAGAAAAGTAAGAACAAGACGAGGTGAGTTGTACACTCACATTAACCAAATCACTTTTTACTTAAATTGTGTATTTTTAGGACACTTTTCTAACAGTTTTATTTGACTACATTACCAATATTTGACATAGTAACTAAATGCTAAGTCAACTTTTCAAGTGCTAAACTATCCCTCCTTTAAAATATGCTGTAGTATATCTCATTAATGCAATAATAATAATAATAATATTAATAATAATAATAATAATAATAATAATAATAATAATAATAATAATAATAATAATAAACCTAAATGGAAACATAAGTGCTTAATGTGGTCTGTTTATTCTAGTTAATATTCACATTAGAGAACCTCTTTCTTAAAATGTGTCTATTTAATATTCCATCCATCTGTTTTCTTCTCCTTATCAAATTCAGGCTTGTGGAAGGGGGGCTGGAGCCTATCCCACAGGGGAAGCAGCAGTGTTCACATGTTTAACTTAATGCAGGATGTGACATCTATGTAAGCATACAGAAGTTAAGCCAATGTGGGACAGAGAGTAGAAGGGGTTAAATTGCTATACACAGGGATGCATTGGCATTGTGGCTATAAATTGTAGAATGTAGCTGGCATAATACACAAAGAACAGTAAATCGCAAAGATGCACAGCAATATGATTGTATATGTAATGTGGCTCAGTGATAAAAGGAATCAAATTATTGTGATTATGTTGTTCACGCTTTAGTCAAACATTTTCTTAGTCCTCCTGGAGAGGAACGGTTACCAATGCTTTCCTCTCATCGTGGGGAATTATGGAATTCGTTACCGGGCTTCTTCACTGCCCATTTTTTTATTCCGCTCTCAAGACCAGCCTCTTCTTTTGACTTTCAACACAGTTTGAGATGTTTATTTTTTATGTTATTGTTTTATACATTTTGAATTGTATCTTGTATTGCATCGATGCTTTTATTTGTTAATAAATTGTATTAACACAAAAGAAAATACAACATACATATATGTGCTTATAAACTGTAGAATTTAGCTGGTTTGATCCACAAAGAACTGTAAACCTCAGAAACATATGATGGTATAGGAAAATGTACCCCAAGGGTTAAAGGCTAATCCAAGGAATCAAATAATTTGCTTGTGAATCAGTTTATTCTGGTAATGAAATGCACAGAATTACAACATGGCTATTTAATTTTAATAAATACTTCTCTGTTGGAGCTTCTGCTCCATGACCCTGTATTTGTCAGAGTAGAGACGTCAGTTGAGCCAAGGATGATTTTTAAGTTCCTCCAGGGTTAGGCGGTCTTTATGGATCTGGTTCAGAGAACCTGACAGAAAATCCTTGCAGTCTTTACAGAAATAAAATAGAGGTGTCACATTTTTGTGTTCCTGTAAATTTACATGTGGATGATTGATACAGACAAAGGCAAAGATAACACAGAAAACACTTCAAACACAAATTGCAACAGGTTGGGGAATCAACATCCAGCTTACCGTCTGAAATGTCGCTACGTGTCCTAGATTTCGATTTGGTGGAGGTGTCTGGGAGGATGTAATGCAACAGCTTATCCATCACAGTGCCTAGCTGCAAAACTGTGATGCAGTGCTGTATTCACGTTGGATTCATACAAGTCCAGAGTTATCTCTGAAATCCAGAGAAATATTAATAATGGTGAGGAATTCACATGGACACAAGATGCATGGACAGTCCAGGACATTTGAACACTGGGACTGATAACCTACTACTTCTTCGAGTGACTGCTTCTGGAGTAAAAGTGGCTCCACAGCCAAAATCAATGTATTTCACTTGTCGATACATTGAGAGATCAGCTGATACTTCAATCACAATGTTGTTTGCCTTAATGTCCCGATGAAATACACCCCTGGAATGCATCTCAATAGCTGCATCTACCAGCTTTCTCATTATATTCTGACAAAGAAAAGAAAGGTATGTTCAAGCCACAAGCTTTGCATTATCCATGAAAGATTGCTATATATATTATCTCACAAAAGCTAGTAGACCCCTCACATTTTTGTAAATATTTTATTCTATCTTTTCATGGGACAACATTGAAGATTTGGCACTTTGATACAATGTAAAGTAGTCAGTGTAGAGCTTGTATAACAGTGTAAATTTGCTGTCACCTCAACATAACTCAACATACAGCCATTAACGTCTGAACCGCTGGCAACAAAAGTGAGTACCCCCTAGATGAAAATGTCCAAATTGTGCCTGAAGTGTTAATATTTTGTGTGGCAACCATTATTTTCCAACACTGCCTTAACTCTGTTGGCCATGGAGTTCTCTAGAGCTTCACAGGGTGCCACTAGACTTCTTGTCCACTCTGATGATGACATCAGGGAGCCGGTGGATGTAAGAGACCTTGCGCTCCTCTAGCTTCCATTTGCCCTACAGATGCTCAATAGGATTTAAGTCTGGAGACATGGTTGGCCAGTCAAGTACCTTTACCCTCAGTTTATTTAGCAAGGCGCTGGTATTTTTGGGAGTGTTTTGGGGTTGTCATCATGTTGGAGTACTGCCCTGTGGCCCAGTATCTGAAGGGGTGTTCTCACTTTTGTTGCAAGTGGTTTAGACATTAATGGCTGTACATTGAATTATTTAGAGGGGACACCAAATTTACACTGTTTTACAAGCTGTACACTGTTTATATTTTATGAAAGTGTCATATCTTCAATGTTGTCCCATGAAAAGATAGAACAAAATACTTACAAAAATGTGAGGGGTGTATTCACTTTTGTGAGATACTGTATTTCCTTCCTACCACTCACTTACCTTAACCTCACTCTCATGCAGAAACCTGTTTCTGCATTGCAGATACACATCCAAATCGATGGTTTTTTTCTGTCTTTCAAAGACCATAATAAGTTCGTTTACTGAGTCTAACCACTCCAGTAGTACTGGGGTAACATTGCTGCTTGTATTCTGTGGTCCTGCCCCAACTTTCATCAGCAACGCCACTTCCACGGGAACTTTGGTCATTTTACCATTAAGAAGCTTTAGAACCAGAGAAAATTTAGGTCAGTGTTCAAACAATGAATAATATGCGCCATGTGTTCAGGCAGGACATTTTCTTGACATGCTGTGAAATATTCGTGTTTCTCAACACAAACTTTCCAAAACAAAAAGCAAAAGTGTCAAGGGAAAGGACAAACATCACTTACCATTGGTAGGCGGTCGACACGATTCTGAAAAACATGTTTTATAACAACCTGCATTACAGAGAAAATGTGGTTTAGAAAAAGCACACAGTGCACAGGATTTACTAGAAGAACTGTGAGCTACACATATAACAAGTCATACTCGGACATTGTCTTCTTTGTGTTTTCCAAAGTAGACAGTCCCGTAACCTCCTCCACCCAGCAGATCCAGCTCTTCATATTTTGATCCAAAGTCCTCTACAGAGACACAAAACAGACATGGGGGTCTTGATTATTGCATGGAAAACAGCCAACATTGGCTTAGTTTATCTACACATTTATACAGGCTTTGTTAGAATGTCCCTACTAATTATTAGATGAATACCAGCTAAGCTTGGAGATTTTCTGAGGAAAACAGCCCTTTTACTAGCTGGAAAGGGGTTCTGTCATTGCATATGGGATTTCAACATATTCTTACCTAGCCTATGACTGTTGTATGTGCTGGGTAAGGGGACATCAGTCTTGTAAATGGAGCGGCTGGACTCCTCCTTTGAGCTAGATGTTTTGCTCTTTTCATTGAGTGGCTCCTCAGTTTCATTGTGGCTAGATTTATGTTTGCCACTCTTCTTTGTGAAAGCAGCTGCAAAAACGAAAAGCAATTAGACCTCTGAACTCTACAAAGGGGCTCAGAGCTGATCAATAACAATAAAACAAAAGTAAATATCTCTGAATGTCTTACTTACACTTGTCCTCAGCGCAGTCTTTCCTCGTGCTGCTTATGAATTGTCCACCTGGCTTCCTGTCTTCTGTTCTAAAGAACCAGGGCTCAGTGTGGCCTTCTGTGGTTTGAAAAAAATATCAGTTTGTTAATGTGATGTTGATGTTAATGTAAACAAAAAAAAAATCAAGCAGGTAGACTTATCCCACCTAGATTATTACCACCACTCACAGCACGTGGAGCAGTAACAGTTGGCCAAGATTTAAAAGACATTTTGACATTTCTTCAGATATTTTCTCTTTGCAGTAAACTCACTGTTGACATTTTGGCTTTTGCAAGTTGTCTAGTTGGAACTATGATTTGCCCATTTAAAGAGAGGTCTGCAGACTTAAATTTCTCTGCATACAAACAGACCATAAAAGACCCTGTCGTGTATCTTTTGGACCTCATCCTCTTTGATGAGCAGCAGTCTTTAAGCTCATATATCACATATTCACCTTCAGACAAGTCATTATTCCCACTAATCCAGTGCTTTCAGATCACTGTAGAAAGAAGCTAAAAAGAGGGATCACTTTAGACTGCTCCGTCTTACACCCCTGGAGATCTGCTGTTGATGTCACCACTTATACACTGTGGCAGGTTAAAAGGCCAGCGGTGACCAACAACCGGACACTCGAGAACACAAAGAGGCACCAGTTTATTGCCTTTCCCAAGAGGTTCTGGCGTCACCGAAGCCTATAAAGGGAGAATTCCCACTGGGACCCCTACACCCACAGTCACCCTCCACCCCACCCCCTGCACCCCACTATTCTGCCAGGAGATTCCCCGGGACGTCTGCAGCATTTCCATGACTACAACCACTGACAGGAATGGGGGTGACTGTGTCAAGAGATGTAGCAAGAGGGAGAGAAAAATGGAGGGGTGACAAGACGACAGCAAGAGCTGCAGCTGATGCAGACGAGGGATCTTGAAAGCAAATACATACTGAACAGACACAATATATTTATAATTTAAAATAAAGAATATATACTGACAAGCACATTTCTCAGACAATAACAGTTTCACATCGCTATCTTTATTTATCTTCTGTTGTTTACAAAACCATATAATACAGCGAATAACAACCACTGCTATTCAATAAACTTACTCTTTTGATATAAAATAAGCAAAATAATAATAATAACAATCCCCCAACAGCCTCTTCTTCAGTTTATAAAGTGCATCATAATGATGAGGCCTCACCACAACAGGATGAATAGTTCAATATTGTACCGAGTTCGGTTAGGACTGTAAGACAGCCAAGTTTGAGAACACCATGATCACTTAACAGAGAGGTCACAGTATTCACATTTGGACGCATTCCTAGAAAAGAAAAGAAAAAAAAAAAAAGTGTTTTGTTCCATACAAGAGACTGAAACGGTTTGCCAGATTACACTTCTGGCAGCACACTTGTACATACAAGGCACAGAGTAGTGTTGCATTTTATTACTGTGTATCAACCTGTTCTACAACTGGAGACAGAGTTTTCTTGTCCTATTGCCTGCAAAGGACACAAATGGGTGTAAATAGAGGTAGACTGTAGAAAATCCCCCATCCTGTGAAACAAGAGATGAAGTATCCCCGATGCTCCCACCTCACGGTCCTATTGCACATGTAGAAACCGAGCACTCAGACTACACATGCATGTCACACAAATCAATTTTTAATGAGCTCAAACAAACAATCACAAAACTGTAAAGGCAGGAAAAGTTTGAGGAGGCACTTATTCATGTCAATCACCTCCACAGGGGCTGAGCAGCAGGAGCGGTGGAGGTGGCAGACCCTCGAGGCATTTTGGGCCCAGGTATCCTTGAAGCTGTTGGGATTTTAGAGCTAGCAGGAGTGGGGCTTGTGCTTGTCGTCTTGGCAGTTTTATTTCGAGCTGCCGATATGACAGCCGTACGTATGGTCTTGGCTGTGGCCGAGGATGGGCTGTGGGCAGTGCTAGGCTGACAGTGAACCTGAGACTCTGAGTTTGGGGCGAGGCGTTTGGAAACGCGGAGAGGAGTGCCTCTGATGAAAGTTGGCTGGGTGCTGCCAGAGCCTTTCTCTGGCACAGATCTGTTTGAAGTCCTGCGGGCCAGGGTGGGCTTCCCCGGAGCCTGCGCCTCACTTACAGTTCTCTCCCGTGTGCTGTTACTTCGCTTCACCTCAGCCGCTCGAGAAATAGGAGATGAACGCATTGACAGACTACGAGGAGCAGCAAGGCGGGTAGGAGTTGATGAGTTTGTAGGGGGTGGGTTTCCACATGAAGAATCTGTTTTAGAGCGTACCCTGGGAATGCCCGTGCTACTGGAAGGGCCTGTACGTGACACAAGCCCCCTCTTGGCTCCTATCCCACTGCGTACAGGGACCTTCATGGTTCGAGCCTCTTCCTTTGATGTCAGAGACGCTGGGGTCGACCCCTCTCGAAGGTCAACCTCCCTTTCTTTCCTCCACTTGGAGCAAAGGCTCGGTGTTGGTCGTGGGAGTGGGGAGCCTGGGGGTGACAAGGCGTCATAGGATCTAAGGCCTTTCACCAGAGTGTGGCACTCCAGCGTTTCACCGACACGAGAATATGACCTCCCCGTCTCCCTCTCGGTACTTGGCAACTCAGGATCCTCCTCTGGCTGTGACTGGCTGAACTCCGGTAGACTGGAGGGCATCCAAGCCTCCTCCGCAGGTGTGGGCACCACATCTGTGTCTGTCCGGTTTGTTAAAACTCCATCAGGCAAACACGTCGCAGCACTTGGTTCAATAGAGGGTGTGTCTCTCGTCTGTGGCTGCGACTGCTCCTCCACTGGAGCGCTGACAGATGACTGCAGTTTGGTCTCAGATCTGGAGTACCTAATGAGCCCAGTACCGTTGTCACTACAAGACTGTATTCCACTTGTATGAACAGATGGTTGTAATTCCTCATTGACACAAGAAGTGTTGGATTTTGAGTGAATAGGATGATTACTGGGCATTACTGGCAGGCCAAAATTCTGCCTGTAAGTGGAAGTTCTGCTTTTAACACACTGGGTTGGTTTGCTATGAGTAGAAGCAGAGTCTGTATAGGAACAGTTAACTAAAGCCATGTTTTCATGTGAAAAATCCAGTTCTTTTTCAGTTCCCGTTAACTTGGATTGGTTTTGCCTCAGATAAGAAATACTCTCAGGTCCATGTTGTTTCACAACAAAGCCACTTTCATGCTGAGAATGACTAAATGTTGCTGCTTCAGTGTTTAATTTTGTTTCTTGGCTGTGCTGAGCCGTGCTTCCTCGGCCCAGGACGGGTCCTTGGTCAATGGGGGAACACATGCCATCAGTCTCTGGAGAGCTGCAGAGAACCGCAGAGGTCTCGTGGTCAGAGGAGCTGTTTGAGTGATAACTGGTTGATGTCGGGCTGCTGCCCAGCTCAGGGAAGGGTGAGTTGTGGAGATGGCTATCGTTGTGAGAGTGTTGGAGGTATCTGCGGGAATCAGAGCTTCTAAGACTACGACGGCTCCAAGTGTAGCTTAGATTTCTCTCTAGGAGTTTTTCCAGCTCATCCTGGCTCTCCTGACTGGGAGGCTCTCTGGCGAGGCTCAGGCTCAGGTCTAACCCAGTGCAAACTGCCAGAGAGCGACGCTTTTCTGCCATCTCACGTTGGCGTTCCAGACGTTTCTGTTCTTTCAATTCACGTTCTGCATTTTCCTATGGAAAAATGAGAGAGAAAGGATAGTTGCTCACTCATCTTTAGCATACAGTTAAAGGTTCTATGATGCAATTTTCCTATCGACAGCTTCTAACCTGGACTGCTCTTTGGAAGCGGTGGCAAAACAAATGAAAGACCCTGCAAGCCTCCTCCAATTTAAAAGTGCTGTCATCTTCACAGAAAAACTCCACCAGAGCCTGACTCGACATCTTCATACCCTCCACCTCGTCCTCTGCCTCCTTCAGACGCTCTTCAGCCACCTGTAGATACATTTTACATGAACATATTCATTACCCCTTCAATTAAAGCCCCAAATCTTGAACTTGAGATAACCTGTCTCAAGTTGGAGACAGTCCATTTAAAAATCAAATTTTTTGCACACCTCCAGGAAAGGCTGCGTCTGCTTCTGAATCTCTGCCTCAGTCTGTATATTTGCCTTGAGGGCCGCAACTCTGCTTTTTAACTTGGCCAAGTCATCAAGCACAGACTCTTCACAAAACCTGCAAAAGGAGGAGAGGACAAATACATACATGCAATCATTTTGTGAACTGAACAGAAACAGGTGGATAAACTGTATGTCTCAACAAAGGGTGAATAATTAAAGACTGGAAATAAATGATTGCACATGATCGAAAGTGTCTAGGAATTTGTCATAAAGAAGACCTATTATGCTTTCCTCCTTCTCGTCATATATCCCCTTACAATGATGCATGCTCATAATAAACATGCCCAAAACTTCATATACAGAGGTCAGAATCTGGTAATTCCCATTATCTTGGAGTTCAGGCTGCAGACTGCTTGGAAATACTTAGACATTTTCTATACCTCTATTTTCTACACCTCTTCCCTCTATATGGTCACCCCAGCTGCCCAGCCACCCACTGTTCAAACTTTCAGTTTTTCAGGGGTAGCCAAACAGAAGAGCCTTAGCTTAAAGTGATGGGGAAGAGAGCTAAAACGGCTCATTTCATGATGGCGTGTGAACTCCATCAAAGCCTAGCATAAGTAAGGATATTGTAAGCTGAGAGTCATGTTAAACTACTCTAACCAGCAGGAATTAAAATCTGCAAATGAGCAAAACATGTCCCCTTTAAATATTCTAGCACGAATGCAGGAGCAAGGGTGCAGGAATTGAGAGTCTCGGAGAGATAGTCATCTCTTAGCACCCAACTGTAGTCACCAATTGAAATAAGAAAAATGGTCAAAATGTCCAGCAGCTTAAGTAGTGGCCATCATACCCCACTGTCAATCATGCATCTTTTGCTGACAGCTGGGTGTTTTTTTGTTTCAGTAGGGTGTTTGAGGTATTATTGTCATTAACAATGATCATGCAGACTAAATAACAGTAGGATATAGATTTGGGGGGAAAAAAAAAGACTGACCTGGAGGCGGAGCCAACATGACCTAGTTGGCTGGGAAATGACAGTAAACTCTGGTCTTTTTT